GCCAAGTTTTTATGTTGTGTGTAGTTTTCTGTGATCTAAAAATTCATATTTCATTGTATTATAAAAGATGTCATTAATACTTTTTGAATTCAACATTACTTAAACTGACTGTATTCTCTGATCTTAAAGCACACCCTGGTTATGGATTCACTAAATACACACATCTAAAAATTTATTGTCAGASTTGAAAGTATGATAAACTGAGAATATATAGATAAACTAATACATTATTGTTTAGTGAAAAGGTGGGTTAGTACACCCTGGATCYATTGAAAATACTTGTGATGCCGTGTTATACTGACCTTCATCATGCACTTAAGTCTCTAAATTTTTTTCAGTCACCATTGAATCTTTAATTCTTGAATGTGTGCTGTGGTCTTGCAGTTATGCAGAAAACAACACAAAACTGGTGACCTTTTTGTAAATGTTTTTGGTTTGTGCAGTTTAAAATGGGTGATAAAAAATGGGTCACCTGTTGTGTCTAAAAGCATCTGGAAGTGGGTTCAGTTTCACCAGATCAGCGGATAGGAGTCTGTCACTTTCCCTGAAGCTGATGAAAGTCTGCGTTCTAAGGAAATTTTAATGTTGTTTTAAGGAAGTGATAAATTAGAAGGGTGTATATTCTTCCAATATTTTGTCTGTAAAAGAAAATGAACCCATTAGCGAGTTATTTGTTTCAATGTCTGTTATGATATAAAGGAATACTTTAAGAGCTTGCCCACTCATATTTGGATACTTTAACTGATCTGTTTAACAAAACACGCAAAAATGGGAGAAAGAAATGCATTTCCTGGATGTACCAGGTTAGTGCTTGACTGTATTTGAGGTAGAATGGCTTGAAGGCTGTAAAGTGGGCATTTAAAGAAATTCAGTTTAACTATCTGTTAAGTATCCACATTTAACAAAGATGTATGATGCATTTTCTAKATGATTTTGAAAGGAAACCTACTTGAGATCTGACTCACAATGATTAGAAAGTGGAAGACAAGTACTCTCAGTAGGAAAATGCCAGTATAAGACCCAGACACTTKCTTTAGACTCACAGGATTTATATTTTGTGCTATGGTAATTCAAAGTGCAAAAAGGCTTTTTAGAATTACAGTAACATTAGTAAGAACTTATAATTTTAAATGAGAACAGATTTTCTTGGTTTTATTCATTTTTAAGTACGTGTCTGAACCTTGCCTGAGAGCCGGGCCAAATACTTGTGCATTCCTGATGTAAAGAGTGAGTCAATGCTTCTCAAATTAGAACAAATCAAATTCAAATACCTGAGACTTAGTACATACTCTCTTGTACTAATGTGGAAATAATTCTTTGTTACTGATTTATAACCAAGGAAACCGACWTGGAAATTCCTTGCAAAGGTTAAAATGCTTGCTGTTGTAACTGAATAGATGTAGAGTAGGTGAATGATTATGTTTTTCACTTACCCCCCACAGTCATCAGGGACAAAAGTCCCTTTAGGAACAATACTGCCTTATTGTATTTTTGTCCTTACTGTATCCTAATATTTAAATTTCTGGACTAAAAAATGTAGTTTGTAGCCCTGTCTTAAATTCCTGAGTTCCCCATTCAGTTCATTGCAAGGATGTCAGGTGGATTTCAGAAAGGCTTTGTGCTTTTCAGAGGTGGGGAGGAGGCTTGTGCTAACCACAAGGAAGTACTGTAGAATGAGCCATACATCTTAAAAGTGTGCCCCTCTTTGGCCTGTATATAAGACAAAACTCACAGCTCAATTCTTTTGATTTTACATGCCGAATATTATGCTTAGACCATGAATGAAGATATGATTAGCCAGTTTTGGAAGCAGAAGCACAYGTGGTGAGGTTTGTGTAAGCCAGYGTGAGTTTGGCAGCTCTGTTGGCTTATACCAGCTCAGGGATGTTSCCAGCAGATGCAAGGTTTCCTCTGTTAGGCACTCAGCTGTCTTGTGCCATATGAAAACAATGCAGGGCTGCAGGCCAGTATTTTCCCTTAGCTGATCCCAATTTCACCCAGTCTGAAAGTGGCCTTCGGAACTAATGTAGTTCATGTGTTSCTGAGGTGGCAAACACAGCCCTTTGTTGGGTCACATCGTCTGGTTGAGAAAGCCTGTATGTGTTTATGAGACAGAGAAATGTCCTGTGGAAAGGTGAGCCAGTAATGAGCAAAACAAACAACCAGTTTCTGTATCTTGTCTCAGGATTTGAAGGTATTGACTTAGTGCTGCACCTTAGCAAGTATGCTCAAGGCTTTTCGGCCTTTTGGACTGCAGCTCCTTATCATATGAAGGTTTCTGAGCAGTTGAAACTTCTTGGCTTTAGTAAGTATTAGAGCTCTCCATTCTCCTTTCAGTCATGGACTGGGTTGCCTTCTCTGGAATAAAAGCTGGGAGTTTCTTTTGGAATCAAATGGCTGTGTATTATCCTATTTCTGCATACATAGAATTTCTCTCACTTGCATGATTGGTCATCAGCTATGAATTTTATCCTTCATATTACATTTCATGTTTTCAATTAGTGTCAGATATAGTTTGAATGGACCTGCTGGAGAAAACTGTGCTCAACTTGTGATTTCTTATTGAAATGGTAAGAARAAAGGGAAAAAACTCGCCCTGCCATGCTGTACTCAGTTATGGGTATTGTAAAAGAAAACTAGTCATTTGAAAAATGCACTGGTTAAAAGTTGAGTGCCATGAAACTTTCAATTGCTTGAGAAGTTAATTGCAGAGTTTAGAAAAACTGTTGCATTTGGATTTAGTAGAAATTAGGTCCTTCTGAATTGTTTGGAAGAGCTAGGCCTCAGCAGAGCAGGAGTTGTGGTTCAGTACTGTCACAAAGATACCAATACAGATATTCATAATATTTTATTGTGCAATAAACCAGATGGCAAGAAAACAATGTGTTTGAGAGTTCTTTTTAAGAACATAATTCTGAGTATTCAATTTTATTTAGAATTGCAGTTTGTTTTTTTGTTCCTCAGAGTGYATGCTTCACTTGCGAGATTTGGTTACGCAAGTCACATTGTATTCTTGCAGCCTGTTTTRTACTTAAAATTTAACACGACAGGATTGATAAAAACTGTAATAAAATATTATATAAGCCTAAGGAATCCTCTTTTGCTAAATGGCTTTCTGAAATGGTAACTGTCAGGAAAAAAAATCAAATATATGGCTAATTACAGAAAAACTGCGAGTAGCATGCTGCTCTCTCTTTTCCCATGACCTTCTAATTTTATAATTCTGTGTTGTGTGTGTGACCAATTAAAATATGATGGCAGAACAAAATAACATAATCCAAATGCCCAGCAGCTGGGATATAGATGTAATAATCCATGTCCTTGAATCATAGGAAATAGAGGGGACAAGTTGCAGATAATTTAGTCTCTGCTTCTGCTAAGCACAGCTTTTGCTCTAAGTACATCTGTTAAATTTACACCTCATTTAATACACTGGCATGTTACTAAAATTATAATGTTTGGTTTTCTCTGTTTGTCTTTTCTATTACAGAAATAAAGTTGATCCTGCTTAGGACAGAAAGGTGGACTAGATGACCTCTTGAGATTCTCTACAGACAGTTTTTCTGTGATTTCATAGTTTTTACTGATCTTTCTGTACCACATTTTGCYTTTGGGTGATCCATTTTGCTCCATGTAGTTTTTATATAGGTATCCCTTTCCACATACTAGAAACAAAAAGTTTTCAATATTTGTAAAAGTAATTCAGGTATTTCTCTTGTTACACAGATCTTTTGCATCTTTTCTTTCACCCTGTCCTGGTTGCTCATGCATATCAGAACTTTGGGGATGAGAAGTTGGTTCACATCTCTGTATTCATTCTGTAAAAGAATGAATGGACTAAGMAACTGTAGTTTAGAGCTCATAAAGTGCTCAACATGCTGACTGAGTTCCCCTTTGTTTTATTGTTTAGTGTAAAAAGGGGAGGGAAGAGAACTTGTTTTTCTCTTCTGAGAGCACAAAACCTTTTCGTCTTTTTCTGCCATTGTACAATTATCTGAGGTCAGAAATCTTCTAAGAATGGACAGGACTTATGTATGAGGCCAGGATTTGTTAACAGAGAAAAGTAAAATCAGTAATAGCAGTACTCATGTAGTAAGAGATCTTTTTTCTCTGTCAAGATTCACTAAACCTCAGAAAATCCTCCGTGGCTGCAGTATAAAATGTCATAATTCACCACTGGGAATGATTTTCTATGTATACTGATTTAAGATGTTGGATAATTCCACATGTTTTGAAACAACATCAATTATTCTTTTTTATTATTCTTAAAAATTGATAATAAGGGGTCTAGTGTGAAGATGCTGTTCTCAGAGGTTAGCATTGTTGGGGAGCATGCCTTTTACCCTGTAACTTGATAAGCAGGGTTCTGCCATTGCACTTTTTCTTTCATTATTGTAGGGACCACTCTTGTCCCAGTTGTCTTTARCTACATCCAAAGTTTGTGAAGTGTAGGTAGCTTTCTGGTATCAAAATGCCTAAAGCCATGGATATTGAGTACTTTCAGATGCGTATGCTATGTTTCCTCTGATTTCACTGGTAAGTGTGGTTATGTGGTATTTCACAGGCTGAAACCACACAGAGGGACAAGCTCAATTTTCTTAAACTTGTAGCTTATTTCTGATCAGTTTAACCAAGCTGAGATCTATGAAAGCAGTAGGTATTCTGGATTGTCAAGATTTCTCAGGTGTGTCTACTGGTATTTGCTATCTGAATAGGCCTGGAACTGTCACAGAAACCACTTGCTATGTATACAGAAGAAAGTCTGAAGAATGAACATCTCAGGTCTGTACATGTATGTGCAGTACATGTTWATGAAGAATTTAAGATTTAAGATTTCTGAATCCTGAAAGTCTCATGCCGACTAAGTAGTATGACTTATGGATTATGAGATATAGAAAAGATAAAGAAGTAAAMAAAATTTCAAGATCCTTCTTTGACTAAAGGTATGTGATACAAATTAATATTAATAATATTTAGGTCTCTCRTGATTTTTTCCACAGGCAGCGGGAGCAATCCGTCCTTTAGTTTCTACTGTTATTGCCTCAGCTGCARATGGCTGCTTAGACCACTCACTGGAACGTGCCAGGTACAGAGCGAGTGAAATGCCTCAGGCTTTCTTATTTGATACAATCTACGAAGCATACCAACAGGTAAGAGATAAGACTTTATAAGACCTTTTTTCCATTTACTTTAGTTAAAAAGAAATTCTTTATTCTTTCAAGAATAGAGCTTCAGCATCTATTTCAGATCACGTCAAACTGTATGCATRTATCTTCTGACTCTTTTAAAAAATCCCTGTAATTCTAATCTGTTTGAAATTTTTGATTAGTTAACTGTTAATTACAAGAGGGGGTGATAAGTCTAAATATCTRGAAAGACAGATTTGCTTTAATTTTTATAGTGCATTAAATAGGTTACTTAAATGAGTGGGTTAGTATGTTTAAAGTGTATGTGTAAAGTATGYATTGTTGACTAAGAATATCAAAGAGTTTTGGATGCTAAGTGTAATAATGGCATTTTATAGTAATTTAGTGGGATACAGGCTGTTTTAAAATACTAAGATAATATATCTTGCTACATCTAGGTAAATTGCTTGTTTCTTGTTGCATAAGTATTATACATTGTGGCTGAAAATGTTTACTTAGTCTCTGTTGTAATTCTCCATTTTTCCTAAATAACATTAACTTTATTCATGAAAATTTAACTTGTGGGTAGTCCATTAAACACTGACTCTTTTGCCTGTATTTGCCCTGAAGACTGCTTTCATTTGCCCCACCCTGCATTCACAGTTCACTGGAAACATTCCAGCCTTTCGTCTCARCATTCTACTTCCTTTTCATTCATCACCTTGTGGAAATTGCCTGTCCTCCAGGTATCTTCCAGACTGACTGGAAGCAGACCATTTCTTCATTTGTCACTTGGAAAGAATTATTTTTCATGTTAATACTGAGAATCACATGCTTCCCATCAGTCTTTGAATTCTAAACAAGCCCAAGTTTCTCATACTCACTTTCAGAGAGTACAAAGCTTCGAAGACACCAACAACAGAACAAATGTGWGGACAGACAATGAAGATGCTGTTACTTAATTGTTCACTAATTGTTTTSCTTAGAAATGTTGGCACAAATTCCATGTCATACCCTTTATGCTTGATACTTGAAACTATTAGATGCTCAAGTCTTTGGATTGGTTTCAACTTTTTGCTTCTGATAGGAAGCATGGAGGGGGTGTTCTTGKTATATACCATGACAGACAGCTGATACTTCTGAGACTCTACCTTGAATGTAATGGGTACACTCTTAATAAATGCAGCCTATATGTGCATAAGAACACATCTCAAGAGATAACTGCTACTGTTGGTTATACAACTCTTTCTTGATGTGTGTATCTTTTGGTAAATTGCATGTTTATGTGCTGTTTCTTGAAACCACCTCCCCGCACCYCCCAAACAACCCAGTATTTTTTGTACCATGTTTGCTCATAATTTGCAAATACAGTAGAGCTGGCAAATACATAAAAATCTCTTGCCCTAAATGCCCCACTCAAAAGACAACTATATTTGCAGTTCCTTTGCTCCTCTGAATAGTTTTTTTTCTGACATATGTATTCCATCAGTGGTTTTTTTTTTTTTGTATATCCCTGCTCTTTCAAGCCACCAAAGTTGTTAGAAGCAACCAAGGTTATGGTTTCTTGTCCCCAGTTCCCTCTGCTCTGGCTAAATTCTGGTCATTTAAATGCTCTGTGCCGTGGACCCTTGGGAAGTATAACACTTAGCTAAAATCTCTCAACTCATATTGTTTCCCAATTATTTATGTTTCAATGGTGTCTAGCTATCCAAGTCAAGGATTAAGACCTTATTGTTCTGGGAACTGTACAAACAAGTAAAAAAAGACAGATAATTGTTGTCCTGAAAAACCTAGTCAAAGCTACCGTAGGACAGATTTTTGTAGGAATGGATGCAGCTCATGATGCTTCCTAAATATTAACATATCCATAATCAATTCCCACAATCTGGTGAAGGTAAGTATCATTGTAYAGATGAATAAAAAAGAGAAAATAGTTTTCTTACTCATGTTGCAAGTCATTCATTAAGCTGGGAATGGAATTCATTTTGGCTGACTCTGCATGGGACCATGATCCCATGCCTGTGTATTTTATACAGTTGTGACCTTTATGCAACAATATGGGAAAAACACAGTCAGACATGCATTCCTTGGAAAGAAACTGTCCATTTGATTTAGTGCTTTGAGTAACACAGGCTTTTCAGTTACATTGTGTGTAATGTGGAGTACTGCTTTTAAACTCCATCTCTATTTAAATGCAGCATGTGAGTAGATAGTTTTAGACTATTTACTTCCATATGTGTTCATGAATGTAAGATCTCTAAATATATTGACCACAAAGTTTAAAGTGACCAAGTGGACAAGTGACCAATGCAAACAACTGCAAGGGGAGAAAGAACTGTATTTAACGTGTGTGTGTAGCCTGAAGGTGGGAGGCTTTACCTTAGCCAGGAGTTTTCCTTGGGATTATAGGTAGAAGCACATATAAATTTGTTAAGGGGATAAATGTATCCTTGCATCACTGCTCTTAGTTCTGGTATGTCTTAATTTGTGATTTCTCATTTCCTGCACAATTTAATGAACCAAGTTAAATATTAGTAATGGACAAGTTAAAAATTTTAATATCAAAAATGCAAATCTCTGGTAACAGTAAAACCTCTGGAAAAATTGCAAAAAAATGCCAGAATCCATAATTTACTTCAATTCTAAGCTACCTGGGACAAAATCAGCCAGTTGAATTTTTTTCASTTATTATTTTTATTTTATGTTAATAACAAATTTTTGTTCTTTGAAAGTACGTTTCTTTTCTATTCTTATCAATCCTAAGGAAAATCAGGAAATTATAAGTGTTAATTGGAAATCTGTTTCCAAAGATAGCAAATAAGGGATAGGTTCCTTCGACCAGACTTGTTCATTTTTGCTYAAGGTAGTTTCATGTTTCTGTTCCGCTTCTTAATTTAAATAGGAACAAATGTGGAGTATGATCCTGCAAGCCTAGGAAGAGGTGGGTGGGGAAAAGTCTTCACTTACCAGAAGTCAAGTGTTCCCTGGAGCAGTACCTTTTAAAGGAATTAGAGTATCAGGAAGTCAGGTAGACTGCCATTTTCCTTTAATCAGAGTAGGCTGAGACTGATTTCTGTAATACTTGTTTTTGACATATTGTGAAATGCACGATTTCAAAGTTTTTCGTTTTTAATACAAAGYGTCTTGTTGTGTCATGTTGTGTTCTGTACAAAGTAACACAACCATAAYATATAAAGTCTGAAATACCCAAACTTAACAAAGCATTGAGCACTTGAAATGTAAAATTCTAAAGCAAGAAAGATAGTAGGAACATCTGAAAATCTATCTTTTGTGATCTGGAAGAGAAACAACCAAAAATGGAAACAGAAGAGAAGTTGTTGGTAGAAGATTCTGAGCCGCTTATATGTCAGATATGTAAACAAATGGCCCTGGGAAGATGATAGGATGGTTAAGGAGTTATCAGCATGAATGCTGGGAATACTGCAGAGTTGCTCACCAATGCCATCAGTCCAGGAGAGCCAAGAACCTTGTGAGAGGGAATTRCTACAAACAGCTGAAAAAAGAGCAGGACATGTTAGAATGCTATTCTGCAGGAATCCTGCATGTGCGGATGGTATGACAAAGTCTGATCACTAATTCAAAAGAGAGGGATAGCTTTATAAGAATATTTTTTAAAAAAAATTGATACACTTTTTTTTCTGTTGATCATTTATGTTATCTTACAATTCTCCTTGAGATCTGCTGTACATATGGAAATTAATTGCAAGAGCTACACACTTTTTTGGGAGGGGGTGTTTCTAGTGCATGTACAGTTAGTTCAGTAATGTCCAGTAGACCTGTTGCAGATTGTGTAAGTTTATGTTTAGCTAATCAGAACAATGAAGCTGAAGTAAAAAAAAAAATTCAAAATAGGAACAGAAAGCACGGATACTCATTGAAGGAGAATGAACTTCAATGTGTTCTGTGATTCATATCTATAACCTCCTTGCAGTTATCCACACAGATCAGGCTGATCTTAGGGATTCTATGTGATCTGTTAGAAAATATTTAGAGATTAGTACCTTTTGGGACTACCCTAAATTAGTTCATAGCGAACGCTAACTACTCTTTGAATATTAAGCCRTTACATTACTTATGGGCCATTACAGCATCTGCCCGCATAGGAGAGAATGGCTATATATAAACATAGTAATGACAAGATACAAAACAATAGTGTGTCAGGGAGAATCATGCACATACTTTGATGCTGAATTCTGGGAGGCAGATGTTCTTCCATTCCCCAAAAAATCATTACAAGATGTCCACAAATCGGGTTGAGATGGGGAGAAGAGATAGTCTGCAAGCTGTCCAACCTGGTCATTAGTAGAAGAAAAGGAAATCCTAAAATGGCTCTCCTCTAACAAACCCCTGCAAATGTTCATGGAAGATTTTGCCAGAATAAGAAAGGAAGTTGGCTGTTGTTAGGCCCATTGTAAGAGGATTTGCTCRAAGTATTGTCTTTTCTGTATGTAAATAATAGGGAGTGTATTCCATGTGGATTTTGTAAACTTCTAAAGTACTTCTTGAAAGGGCACAATATTACTGGGAYTCTTTTTCAAACATGTGTGAAGCATTTTAGTATCCTCTGTAGCAGGGGAGTCAGCTGTAGCAATTTAGCAATATTTTGGCATAGGTCAGGCAAAGTCCTTCGAGGCAAAATGTCTAGACTGATTTGGGGATTTTTCTGTGGCTTCATTCTTCATTAAAAAAGTCCATGTCTGTCAAATTATTATTGCCAGRAGCAACAAGTGATTAGATGAACAGTAGCAGACAAATTGTTGACTAAAACCTTGGCAACTTTGGGAGAAAGGGTCAGAATCAGAAAAAGGACTAAAGGGTCAAGATATAAGTGAGACAGAATTTGGGCATTTAATTCTAGTGCTGGAATCCTGGAAAAAGCCACCGCTTATCCCCTTGCCAAGMCTAAAGATATCTGAATCTTCAAGACACCTCAATCTTTATATTTAACATCTGTCAAATATGAAACTTTGTGTATGTCAAGGCATGTAAGTTGACACCAAGGT